ACACCTTATCGGCTTACTGGGCTTGGGGCACAGAGCCGGCCCGCCCACTTTACTTAGCAGCATAGGCCTCGCAGAAAAACTAACTGTACAGCAACGACTCTTTGTTGTTCATTTTTTTGTAGTCAATGTTTTCCTTTCTTTGTTGTCATTTGTGTTGTCATTTTTGCTGTCAATTTTGTTGTCATTTGTGTTGTCATTTTTGTTGCTATATTTGTTATTCTTGTTGTTATATTTGTTTTTCTTGCTGTCATTTTGGTCATTGTCGTTGTCATTTTGGTCATCATTGTTGACATTTTGGCCATTGTTGTAGTTGTTATTTGTATTGTCCTTGCTGTTGTCACTGTCGCAGTCGACGTCTGGTGCCGGGTGCCGGTGCGGGCTGTAAGTGCAATGACTATGATCGATCCGCCGGGGGGGCCCGCGCCGCCCTCCCCCGGGAGTGGCCCGTGATGTTCACACTCGCCACACATGCCAGGGCCGAGGGCGACGAGCCCCGCGCACGCCTAGCGGGGGAGGGAGCGGGCAGAGTGGCGAGCCTCCCTAGAGAGAGAGCCCGCGCCGCGTTTTATATACACGGGCGCACGCCCACACGCTGGTAAAACACAGGTGCCAAGTCGTGCCTTTCCTGGGGCACTAAAGACATGTTCAGTATGTACTGCCTCACAAAGGGACTAAACAGGACAATAAACATCCCAAAAGGTATGGTAAAAAAAATAGTGCCTTTTGGCAGTTTTATTGCCTTTGTAATGGGACTAAACCCTTAGTGCCTTGTAAAGGCAAGGAGTTGGCACCTTTGTTTTTCCAGTGCACACACGCACCGCGCACCGCTTCTGTAGTAGTAATGACGGATTCTAATCGGGCCGCTCGGGCGCCGCGCGAGCGAGCGAGCGACCGTCCCCTCGTGTGCCTGCCGTCAATAATGGAGGCGGGCGGACAATAAGTGAGGTGCAACAAGAAGAGAGAGCATCCGTAACGGCGCACTCCGCGCCATGGCTTTCGAGAAATCGACCCCTGCATAATGGCGGCGTGCATAGTTCATCGCTCAGGTGAAGAGCCTCTCCCTCCTCCTCCTCTTCCTCCCCACCCCGCCACCCCGGCAGCCCCTTTGGCAGGCCGGCCGTAGCGGCGGCGGCGGCAGCACACGGTGTTGTTGGTGTGGAGTGGACGCCAGCAGCGCCACCAGTCCCGACGCGCCAGGCCAGGCCTTGTTGCTATGTGCATCCTGCCCTGCCACGGGGTCCAGCGGGGCTGCTGTGGGGGGAGGGGAGGGAAGGGGGGGGGGCACTGGGTCATGAGTGTCACACGAGCCTCCTCGCCCTTCCGCTCGTACACGTCCCCCTTCCCTTCCCACGACCCAACCCCAACCAGCCCTTCCCACCCTTTCCCTTGCTCCCTCCAAATCTCATTCCCCTTCTCCCACGTTTCCTCTGCTCACTCTCTCTCTCTCTCTTTCCTTCTCTCGACAGAACCGACAGAACAGCAAAAAGAGAAAACAACAAATGCAGCATCCTTTATAAGACCAGCAACTAACTTACAACGCCCATTTAAAAGGACGATTATTAACAGTCACAACAATTTTGTTCTTCATTTTTTCGTTTCACGATGAAAAGCTCTCTCTTGCGGGAGCACTGGCTCCTGGCCGCACGCTACATAACCCCCCAGCCTCCCCACGCGCGTCGTCGTCCCCACACACCATACACCACACCACGACAGCTGCCCTCCTCAGAGGCGGAGAGGCGGCTCTCTCTCTCTAGTGACGGGACGGGGGCGTCACAGGACGTCGCACAAAAGAACGCGCCCCGCCTGCTTTCTCCTCATCCGGACACACGTACTCTC